GAAAGCTCAATAAGTTTTAAGTATCACTAGTTGATCCGTATGTAATTTTTTTGCCGTTCAAATAAAAAAAATATAAATATATAAAAAAAGTATTACTCAATGAGTATATATAATGTAATAATTGTTAATCTATCGCTATATTTCATTATAACAAATATAATTTCACGACATATCATACATTCCTTAAAATAAAATTTTAAACGAAAGTTATTTATAAATACATTAACTTTATACTACTTGTCTTATTTTCGTCAATAGCGGCAAACGTAAGCTTCATGGTGTCAGAATCATTAAAATTGTTTAAGAATTATGGATGTAACTGCGTTCCCAGCAGAAATACTTTAGTATCGTAAATATTCATTTATACCGAAACAATGTGTGTTAATTTATTTGGTGGGTTAAAGGAAATCTTTTGGATTTGAAAAAGGAGTAGATCATTTTACATCGGAGCCCAGGAGGAAGGACACCAGATGTTGGGGTTCATCGTTCAGTTTGCCTCCGCGCGCGTCTCTGTCGACACGCGCTACATTTCGTGGAAGACGTTGTGGAAAATTTAGTGAGCGTAAAGTTTTAGTATGTATTATTATTCTGAAATATGTGTGCGTGTGTAGTTAGGTTATTTCTGATTGATTACATTGTAAAGTTAAAACAAAGTTCGTCATAAGAACACTTGTTGTATTTATTTCCTAGAGTTTCGTGTTTTAAATTAGGGCGAGAAAGTTAAAAAAAATAAGGTTATTTTAGTTTGTTAGCCTTTATAGAAAACTGATAGATCTAAATTACAACATTTTTATTTATATAAACGTACAGAGAGTATGAGAATTTATAACATCAAACTAATCATTGAAATTTAAATAATTTAAAAGTATTTAACCAGTAATTTTATGTAACTTTTTTTTAAATCCAGTAAAGGTTTTTGTATACTCAGAATTTTTTTAATTTCATATTAACTAGATAAAATAATTAATGAATTAATCATAGAAACGTTATTGCCAAACGCCTTATGCCATAAAACACAACATTATCAAATCTCCCTCTTCAAATCTCAGCTAATACAAGCGTAAGGAAGAGTCTGCTGTCCGCACGTACGTGCGAAAGTAACTTAAGCTTGTGCCTTTTATCTGTGTCAATACAATAAAACGGTTCTTATGTGCGATGCAGACTTTTATTCGCCGCTAAATATGTAAATTAAACGTGTGTTGGAAATGTACTAGCTCCATTTTATTTCCTGAGGACCATATTAAGATCATTATCAAAAGAAAACGAACATAAAAACGATGTGTTTATGATAAATATTTTGTGTTATATAACAATTTTTTCAATATTGTGAACTATATCTAAATCTAACGTTTATAAAACAATAATAGATAGTAATGCTTCTACCGTTCACTATTCTATGTCTACTATTTAGGTGTGGCATGAACCTGAGACTGTGTTTCATAATTCGATAATGCAAACACATTATAAACCTTAGGCTGATGACCGACAGTGTTTTATTTATAGGATAGGTATGATGCTACTTTGAAATCAAAGGTAATTGGTTTATGACCAGGGATTATTCCCTCATGTAAGACTGGCACGCTACGTAATGGTTACCAGAAGTAGACTAATAAAAACTTTAGAAACGTTTAAATATGTAACTACGAGCTTAGTCTGTATAGTTTTTAAATTACTTTTAATTTAATTAAAACATTAAATGATAAGACTTTTACAATGTTTCTATAGATTGATTGACTTTCTAAATTAAAATGCAAAATGCATTTTGACGATTGAAATATAAAAATACGCGTACGAAAACAATAAATGTTAGTCGATTTAAACAATAACTAAGAATTGTATAACCTGAAATTATACTCATACACCTGTTGTTAAAACCGCCTACTTAAAATTTTATACGACATTATTTTTGTTTATGCCACAAGGCAGAAATGTTTTGTACTAACAAAAAGCATTCTTTAATGCCCGCATAAACAAGGTGTTTGTTGCCCGACGGTGCCTAGACTTTTATAATATACGCCGTCCAAGCCACATATTTAAGAGGACAAAAAGGGCTTTTTGGCACAAAAGGAGGATGAAGGAAGTTCGTTAATTATGGTTGGGATCGCCTGTTGAAAATAAGGTTTTATAAATGTTAATGAATTTGTGGCTTTTCGTGTGACATTAATGAGCTGCAATTTGTACATTGAATTAAAGGAAAATTGCAAAATAGATTTGAACTTGCTGTGGGATAAATATATAGCTTTATATCAAAGAGATTAATTGGGTAATAACAAAAAGGCTATAGTTTCAAATTTTTCAATAAAAATCAACGCAAACACGCTTCTGCAGATAACCTAACTAAAAAGTAGAAAAGAATTTTCAATAAATTTAAATTACGAATAAAAAATATTGCAGAAAAGCGCGGGGTGCTTGAAGACAATTGTTATATTTTAACGACAGTATACAACAGTATACTGGTAAAAGTAGTCATAATGGGAAATATCGTAAAAAAACACCCCACGCTTTTCTGCAATAATTTTCTTTTTATTAATCAGACTTCATAATTTAAATTTATTGCTAATCTACAAAAGCGTGTTTTTTAGATTTTTTTAAACATTTTTAAATGCGTACTTGGAACAATGACACTACCGTGTATCGGATTTGGAAAATAGCTAATCCCGAAGGCCCTGATCAGAATAATGGGAAAAACTATTTAAATTATTACACTGTCATGGGTCTTTGACGGGTGTGAAAAGTTTGATTCAAATCTTATCGTTCAAAGTGGGGCGACGTCACGTTTAAAGATTCCATTGCACTCATAGTTACATACAGGTGAAAATAATAAAGCGTGTTAAAAAGCCTGTATAGCATGTACAGATTTAACTTTAATTTGACATGCTTGCTTTTTTAATTTGCATTAAGTCTTATAACTAAAACATATCTTACTCAAAATTCACTTTAATTTCGAATAAATAACCACGCCATATATACGATACGATATAATATATACGATAGATCATGAAATTGTACAAAAAACTGTAATCTTTTTACGGGAGACATGCATTTTGCAAGCAGACAAACAAATGCATGTATGCATTCTTATATTTCGTCTGCCCGATCATTAGAGCTTATTAAGGCTTTGTGCTAGTAAATATTTATTATGCCATTGTTAACTTCAGCTATAAGAAATATACTGGTTACAGGTAATTTTTTTTCGTACCATTACTACATCACAAATCAATAAATATCGCTGTTCATTTTAATTTCAGACATATCGATGTCTTCTTTTTAGGGCTTCTATCCAAAAGGTAAAACGGGACCCTATTACCAAGAATCAGTTGTCTGTCTGTCCGTCTGCCACCAAGTTGTTCACACATGATTTTTCTGTTGGCGCTATAGCAAAAATACTAAAAAACAGAATAAAAAATATTTAAGTGGTGCTCCCATGCAACAAACATGATTTTTTGCCGTTTTGTAGATAAAGGTTCGGAACCCTTGGTGCGCGTGTCCGACTCGCACTTGGCGGGTTTATATTAACATAAATTTTTACCATAGTTAAAGAATTAATGTTTGCGGAAGCCCAAATTTATCCATTTTCTTTTTTTAAATTTAATTTATAGTGAACTGACGGCTGTAAAGAGATGGTAAACTACGATCTTCTTCGATTCTTTTCAATAATAAAAATGTGTTATACTTTTGTTCAGTGTAAGACGACAAGCTGGACCTGTCACGGACTCAATAAATTCGCTGAGGCGTGCATTATATGTTATTTTACGCTGTCATGGAAGACTAAAGGTAATAGTTTCTTCAATAAAGAGAGAAAGGTACATGCAATATAAATAAACCGCGTTAAAAAAATAAGCTGCTTTTTATCTGCACTACCCTAGTCCGCTTTTCACTTAGGAATTATTGACGGGAGGGAATCCATAAATCCGATCCTGTTCCATTGAACAGTGTACCTAACGAGAACAATTTAACTTAACAATTGTTGCTGATAGGATTTATATAAAAATACCCTTCCCCAAATTGGGTCTCTTTTATTTTCTATTCATAAAGATGACACAATACTCATACATAACAATTATATGGTATAATAAATGCTGGGTATACGAGCTGGGTATTCATATATAATTTGGGGGGGGGGGGGAGGGGTGGGGGAGATATAAATCGATTAGTTGGTCTAACAAAACTTTCTTTTTAGGGCTATAAAAATCATTATATGAGTATTTTTAACACCCAAAAAAAATACAATTAAATTTCTTCCACCAGCGGCCTGCTGTAGTGATAACAAAAACAGAATCTAAAGCCTCGCCGGTTTTCAAAAAAAAAAAGAGCTAGCGTACCTTCTTAGATAATCACATATAATTTAAATTGCGATTTTAGTTGTATATGTATAACATAGAACTTATATCTTTACTCCTTTATTGTTATTATTTATTTTTAGTCTTGAAGACGGTTAAACTTTAAACGTTTGTTTTTAATTTGAAGTGTAAATACTCGTCTCACATAGTTGGAAAAAAGTTGGAGTGTCATTTGTTCAAAAACGTCTAAAAAAAATTTTGTATTAAATGTAATTTCATGTTTTTTGTAAGAATGTTTTGAAGAACCTTTTAACTCACTGAACGTCATATTGTGTAGTACCCATTAAATTAATTAAAGTTTCATTTACAACGATTTCAACGCATATTTACATTTTTATAAGTTCAACGTTCAACTCAATAAACCGTAAGTTGTTAAGTAAAACTTTTTAATTGGAGCAGTTATTAAAACATAGTTAAGTACACTACTACAGGCATTCTACTTTGAAAATAAATAGACATCGTGAGTAATTACAGATTAAAGTCAATTAAACATTTTAAACTAGTTTAAAGTTTCGCAACTAATTTATTATCTTGTTTACGGTGTCAGAAATAAGTTGTATAGTGTGGCGAAGCAAAATTAAAAATGTCTTAGACTTTATAACTTCAGTGCCGATGTTTGCAATGGTTTTAATTTTTGAACTGTTTTAATATATCAACGAAATGGCATCAGAAAGAGACATTCAGAACTTCTTTAACTGTACCCAAAATATTTTGGGTCGTGACGCTTCATGGGATAACCTTAATGTATCGCAATTACTGGATCTGCTGCCAAAACAGATTCTCGAGGATATTAACTTGAAGTAAGTAAAAATATAAGTAAGTTTTTATAGATATAAGTAGCAAACTCTCTCATGAATCACAAAGTCGCAGTCTAAATTTTCAAATAAATGGACATTTTAGATATTTAAAAATTATTTACAAGTATGGTATTAAATAAATGTGTCACGTCATCGTCAGCTAATGGATATTTCATAAGCCTTTTAAGCTCCCACACAAAAACATGTCAATTGTTAACTTGTCATACTTTTAGATGATTTGTGAGTCGACGTAGATAAGTTTAAATAAGTGCCAATTTTCTCTAACCACTTCCTTGTTAGTCTTTTTCTCACAAGGAAGACTTAACAGTAAATATAATAAAATAACCGTTTTTATGCCAGTTTAAATTTGCTGAATAGTTTCGAGTATGCTTACTTAAATTTATAACATATATAACTTATACTCAAATATATTTTGTAATAAAGGCTTTACTTGAAATTTTTGCGGACTAAAATATTGTTTTAGTTTTTATATCGATTTTGAAGTTTAATTACTACGTTACGTTCAATCACCGGCAGGGCCGATGATTATATGATTAAATTTTAATGTCCATAACACTACAGAGCTTTCTTATAAAAGTCAGAAACTGGTAAAAGTTCTAAATAAATTGTCAGTCACTGTTACCGTGATTATAGAAATTAATCTGTAATCAAAGTAAGACAGGCATATGTATAAAGTACATCAATATTAATTTGTAAACGAATGGTTTAAGGTTATTTAAATATTCGTGATTACGTCAGTAGTGCACATTACTGCACCCCTGTACATTTTATACTGGTTTGTTTTTTATAAAATTAACTTCAGTAATTTTTAATACTCTTGCACTTATGATATCAAACAATAATTCATCTTCGCCTACGGGTTCTACTATATGAACTCATAACTGTTCTGGGTTAGTTCTAGAAGTTTTTATCGCTCCCCGCTACCAAATAACACCGTCTAGACCAACGGGTCTTAGTTCGAATGCTCTTTACCGATAGCCCAAAGCCGAGATAGGCTACCAAGTCAGTGGAAATCCTTGTTTCAGTCCTGTGCCAGACAAAGCTTTACTTGTTCCTAAATAAAAACATATTCAAGCAAAGATGATTGTTCGATCAATTTATTATAGTGTGAATTAAGATCCAAAATGAGGTTTTGCGACATTATGATGTTTGAGATTAAGAATATTCATTTCGATTTATAATATTTTTAGAAAATTTCGCTTGTGTCCCAATATTAAATGTTGTGAAACCGCATTTATGTATTATAGGCTTTCACGTAAGTGGCTGATAAACAGCCTACTGTTACAGCTTTGAAGCTTACACGTTCAACAACAAGGTTATGGTTTGGTTTAGAAAAAATAATCTTATATCACTGTTTTGAATTCGTCGACATTTAACAGTTCCAAATTTGATGGCAAAGTTCATTTCAAGCAATGCTTTCTTTAGGATTAGGTTTATTACACACAGCGCGATTTCTCGCTGTGTCGTGTTGCTCGGCAAAGATATTTTGGAATTTCTCTTAAGTGCTTTAGTTTATTTGTGAAGTGTTACTTTGAAATTTACAATTTCATAATTTGGACTTCTTGATAGATGGCGCCCATTTTATCTTCGGCAAAACTTTGAAAATTTAAAAACAATTTTAAGCCGCAAAATTTATTTAACATCTTATCCTTTAAACGAGCAATATATATATATATATATATATAATCGGAATCTCGGAAACGGCTCCAGCGATTTTCATGAAATTTAGTATGTGCGTAGATTCGGGGGCGAAAAATCGATCTAGCTAGGTTTCATTTTTAGAAAATGTCCTTTTATCCCTGTTTTCAGGGAGTGAAAAATATAATTCGATTATGACGGTAAATTTCGCCGCAGGAGAAAATGTCATAATAGCTCGGTCAGTAATCGGACGGCCCCAAACAGACGGCCGTGGTTCGCGACACGATCATTTACACATTTATTTTTTTTACTTTGTTTTCGATTCCAGATCATTGCTTTCTTTATTTTTAATTTTTTGTCGATTTGTTATTTTGTTATTTTTTTCCCATTTTTTTAAAGTTCTTTCTTTTGTGAAAAACATCAGTTCATATCTTCTTACTATTACGTCGGTAAGATCGAAAAATATTATGCATATTTCATTACTCAGTAATTTGTATCTAAATGTAATTTCCAAAATACACGATTTACCAAAAAAAAAAAACAAACCGAGCAAAGCTCGGTCCTCCTGGTACTAAGTTTTATTTGCGTAAACCCAAGAGATTGTTTCATGTAAATTCTCACCTTATTTTATTTCGATATTTTCATGAGTAGTAGAGTAATATTTAGTAAAGTTGGTTTGAATCGGATTTTCCACTCCTCCATTTGTTACGTGCTCACAATCTGTAATTAAGTTTTTACTTGGCAAACATTTGTTAAATTCAACTAAGCGATCAAAGTGTTCCCAAGTTTATCTACGTTTTAACCAACACGGAGCGTAGCTATTTAAAATAATTAACATAATTATTTAATCTTTGTTTTTTAAAGAACGTCTTTGTGTTGTTTAACTTGTTTAAAGCTTTTAACCTTTATTAGAAAATTTATTTTCATAATTCATATTCATTTGATTCCTGTGGAAAAGCGAATTGCTATAATTTCAATTATAATTAAATCTTGGTAGGTGTGTTCGGACACTTTTATTACGCGAATTTTCAAGCAAGCGAATTTTCATTTGTTCCTATATGTCGCTACGTTCAGTAGTCGGCTACAAGAATGAAGGGGAATAATACAAGACAGAGATTGTAGATTTTTTTCTATGATTCTAAATGGACGTAAGAAACTTGCTACCCCTAGCGCAAGTAAACTTTGTGGTAGTTTCTGATAACATATTAAGTGGTTACGGATTTTCGCCTTTGATGTTGCTCCCTGAGTCTGGTTTTATTTGGGTATTTGATAAGCTCAGAACTATTTTATGCGCCTTAATTAGATTGAATACAACGGTCGCCTTTTAGTTATGTTGTTGTGATATGTTTAAAAGCAACGTACAATTTTCTACATGACAGAGTGACACTTGGGAACTGTATGGGCCTTGGACGTCGACCGTATAGTCCACCATGGTGGGGACAATTTGCGTGGTTCATCCTATTTGCCATCATGCTGCTTCTTGCAATAGTTGGCAATACCTTGGTTATTTGGATCGTTCTAGGTAAGTTATTATGTACTAAAGTAATGACCACTTTTTTTACAGTTGGTATAAATTATTATTTCTAACTTTACTTGCAATAATAATTTCTTGGGGGCTTTGTTACCAGCACATCGACGAATGAGAACCGTGACCAACTGTTTTTTGGTCAATTTGGCTGTAGCTGACCTCCTTATGGCAACTTTGAATGGAGCTCCAAATTTCATCTTTCTAGTCACCGCGAATTGGCCCTTTGGTTCTATTACTTGTCGAGCGAGTAACTTCACGGCTAATCTTACGGTGTCAGCAAGTGTCTTCACTCTAATCGCCATCACCGTTGATCGGTAAGTAAAACTAACAAAAACTACACATCTCTGGTTTCTTTCTCCATTCTAAAGCGTGCTAGTTTCCTATGTGTTTATTTTACTTCACTGCCAAACATCCAGCAAACCGAAATTATCAGCTAAATATACATCAGCTAATTTCATTGCTGCTAGTGGTGGAATATAAAGTTGTTTTAGTGCAATGAAATTGAAGGCGAACGGACGAATGATGAGCATCTAGATTTATAACAAGGTCTGAATATAAACATGAGACTCAAGGATATTTCATGTTATTTATGTTTGCTAGTATGCGCATAAGTTATTTTGTGAGTTATTGTTTCAATCAAAGAAAGTGATGGTGCTGATGAAAGTGTTTTATTACGAGAAGTTATTTTTTTTATTTTAAAACCACCAATGATAACACAAGACAAGATTTTGCATGCCTTAACGGTTTCATAAAAAATTACATACCTAACATTTTAATTGCGTTTATGGCACGTTTCATGATATTCCTTAATTATATGTATGGATATAACATGTTTATGATGTTATTATAAACATTATATAAAAATATAGGTATTGTCATCTTACCACTATTTAGTACTTACTCAATAATGCAGTCTGAAAACCAATACCATATTGGCTTGTAGGTTGGATAGACTGTGGTAACTAAGTTTTTGAATCACAAACAAGACCAGATATTTATAGACGTTCACTTATTAAGTTTTTTAGCTATCATTAACTAACGTAGTGTATTTTGATATAATCAGGTACGTGGCTATAGTGAAGCCCCTACAACATAGACTCAGCAGAAGAGTCGCGCGTGCTGCATTATTCAGCGTGTGGTTCTGCAGTGCCCTGCTAGCTTTGCCATCGTTACTGTACTCGGACACTTACACTAAAAAGTAAGTATAGCATGATAATTAGTAGTCAAACGTTTTAACATAGGTAGTATAGTACAGTTTAGATAAACTATAAGAGGCGCGGGCAATCGGTGATTGGAAATGGAAAAGTGTCGTTCGTTGGGGCGTTGATGACGATGATGATGATGAGACTATACAGCGTGTCGTTACCACCGCGACAATAAATGAACACACGTCTAACGCTACTTGCCAATAATCATAAAAAAATATAAACGTTAAAAAATCCATAATTGAAAAAAATATTTTTCAAAAAAACTAATTAAATAAAAAAGTAACAAAGTTTGTAACATCCTATACATCTACAACTGAGTGATTCATACAATCAGAGACTTTTTCATTCGTTACCACAGCGTCGCATTACAAATCACTCCTTCAAACAGTATGTTTTATCTCTTTTAAATTCACTCATATGCTTTGTGACCTTTACAAATGAACTTTACGTTACAGTTTTATACGTAAGGGTGTTCTAAAATTGTTTGTTGTGGAAAATTTAATAACTCGATAAATATTGATGTTTAAAGAATGTAAATGTTTCATACAATTTTAAAAAGTTATCCTCTATATGTGTGTTCATTTATTGTCGCGGTTGAAACGACACGCTGTATATATTTTAAAAACGAATAATTTGATTGATATTTGCTTTGAATTTTATTATAAACTTTTGGTGCGCCAACCTGAAATTAATCAGAATTTTTTTTTAAATTAATTCCATGTTTTTATAGGACCACAAACATAATAACTCGTTCAAACGTGGGTTGAAGATAAAAAGATGTTTTCATAACCAAGGCACTGACGTCGATAATAAGTTTAAATATTTATGTTTACTTTGTACCCAACAATGCGGATAAGCGTTTACTAAGCAATAAAGTCATGTCAAGCATAAATGAATTATGTTTCGTTATAAGCGCTAAAGGTTAAATCAAAACTTAACAACACATGTTTGTTTGATACAAAACTGTTGTTTTTTTATAAACATTTCAACAAATAATTTCAGCAACTAATGATAATGACAAAATGAATACGAAATAGTTGCTTAACTATTAGGTATAATTAATTTTAGATATAATAAATAAATTTTAATTTCTATTAACGGAGAACAATTCAATTTCAAAATTCCGAACTTTACAGATACATAAATGGTGAGCGGGAGATATGCTTCATTAAATGGCCCGACGGCAGTTATCCCACTTCTAAGGCAGATTACTGGTGAGACAGTTATTAATTACTTATCTCTCTTAATATATAGAGTAAGCAAATTTCGTTCCTTAAAAGTTTGTCGCAAATTTCCATATCCCTGACGCATTAAAATATTTTTTTAATAAATTTATACTGAGTAAATAAGTACAGTAAATTTATAGTGAGTAGTACGTATATTTAACTCGCACTCGTGCGTGACTTTGTACAGTTGATTGTTTGTACATTTTTGATAGTAAAGTTGAAATTGTGTTTAATTTTGTTATTCCACTTTATTATGGTTATTGGTTACTTCTTAATGTTTCATTGAAAGTACTTATTAATGTGTTGTCCAACTAATTATATGATTACGTTATTATTCTTTAGCTATAATTTAGTATTCTTGTCCGTGACATACGTGGTACCGATGTCTGTCATGGTGTGGGCTTATGCCAGAATGAGTTCAGCATTACGAGGTCACGCTATTGGAGAATGCACGCATCATCAAATGCAGATAGTTCGAGCCAAACGTAAGGTTAGTTACTATTGAATAATATCTAATGACGAAAATGTCAAAACGGAAACTTTCTATGAACGCCACGTATTAAGGTTTATGTATTTAATTTATTTGGTTGAATTTATTTAATTTAACTGTGGTAGGGCCACGCACAGCCTTCAATATTGCACGAGTGGGTACGTCCGTCCGGGGGAGTACCACGCACTCACAGTAGATCGGCGTGAAGTGGAACTGTTACACATCTGTCTTTCGTTTGGTGAATGAGGTGACCGGGGCCACTTTTTTAAAAGGTGGCAATGCATCTGCAACTCTACGAATGTTGCAATTGCCCATGGGTGGCGGTTATCACTTAACATCACATCAAGAAAAAATAACCAATACACATTAAAGCATTTCATTTCTGCCTTGTAACATCTGATCCTATTATTTAGGATTTGGATAAGAGCATAGCAATAGGAATCTACTTATTTATATAAATATGCTTATAGCCGTCGAAAGGGCAGAGATTAGCTTTGCAAAACATTAAATACCTACTCATTTTGACTAAACACCGGTACATTTAATTGACGTTTAGTTCAAATTTGAATGTATCCATGCAGGTAGTGCGCATGTTTGTTCTGGTCGTTATGGTGTTTGCCCTGTGCTGGCTGCCCTACCACGCGTACTTTGTGCTGGTCTATCACCATCAATCGCTTGCATCGGCACCATTCGCCCAGCACATTTACCTGGCGTTCTACTGGTTTGCAATGGCAAATTCCATGTTCAACCCCCTAATATACTATTGGATGAGCAATAAGTGAGTATGTTCACAATCAACACGTAAATATTTTCTTTTGTCTGTACGAAATATATGTTATATTTTATCAAAATTCCTGATCATATTCACGAATATATTCCTGCTAATGAAAAAAAGTTTCATTTTTTTGAAATGCAGTTATTGTTAAAATGAAAGGTTAAAGGATAATCGATGAGAATACGCCATCTATTGACAGTCAGTTTAGATGGTCACTTTAGGAATTGACGTTTTTGTTATCTAATATATAAAATTCTCAGATCACGGTGTTTGTAATTGAACTCCTCCGAAACGGCTCGACCGATTTTCGTAAAATTTTGTGTGCATATCGGCCAGGGTGGAGGATCGGATAACATCTCCCTAAATGAAGGGTGGTCAACCCCAAACATTTTTTTCTACCCTACAAACAATTTATATGGCAAAACAACGTTTGCCAGGTCAGCTGGTATCGTATAAAAAAATTATAGTGATGAAGAAATGTACCTATTGATACAAGTTGTCCCTCGCCCGCTTCGCTGTGTCATACCATCTTCTTTAAGTCAAAAAATAATATGCGTTCCGGATAAGCTCACCAACGTATCATATTCTAAAACCTCTGAAACACGTTGCATCTTATCGAAGTATATTCCGATCGGTCCAGTAATTTTCGCAGTACAAACAAAAAGGCTCTCCATTTATTAGTATATAAATGTACCAAAGCAATGCAAATATTCAGCAACATTAAAATAAATTGAGTTCGTTTGTAAGTATACCGCGAGCAGTTTCCTATTTCTGCATAGAGGTATATTCGTATTTTATTACAAAGGCAATCCACGAGATTCCATGACATTCGGGTAATGTTATTTATTTTACAATATTGCCAACTTTTCTAAGAACAAAGGTGTTTGATCGTGCTTATTAACAGAAACGTTTAATGTGTTCATCAAAAGTATACATAGGTACATATTAATTATTATGCTTAGAATATATTTATTGAAAATAATTAGCCGTTGCGGAACGCCTGGTAGATGTGAACAATCGAAATTATGTTGGACAGATAATATGCATAAAAGGATATTTTATGGAAGAAATTAAATATAACATAATCCTTCTTCTATGTCACAAGATATTTCATACGTGCATTACGTGAATGAAGAAAGTACTTACTCTATTTATCATTAAATCAAATACACAATTATACTCTTGCAGTAGCCACTTGTGTTATGATAATTATATACTTTCATTTAATTAATAATTGCCTAGTCGCCGCATATTTTTAACTGCTTATCACCGTTCTAGCTTTGAAAAAATTCCATATTGATTTCAGGTTTAGGGTCTATTTTCGCATGGTGCTTTGCTGGTGTCGTTCAGTGAAGGATTCTACGCCTGATCACACGACAAAACAATTTGAAATGAACAAATCGTTCTCCGGTCAGTAACAATTTTATCATTGATTAAAGTAGGTATTTTTCCACCATTTACAACCGGTCACAATTTTTTTGTTTTTAACTATAAAAATTAAAGTATTTTCTCGAATAACAAAAGTTTCGGTATTTGATAACTTAACTAGTTACAACCGGTGTTTCTTAACTTAAAAATCGTAAAACGACATGAAAAATTATGTACGAGTAATAAAAATTTAATGTTTTTGTCAAAGCTTTTGTTGTGGAAAGTTTCATTATCTTTCTTTTTCTTGCACAATTTGATGAAGTGTACGATGCCTAAAATTCTATACTAGGAATCGACACTTCTTGAAACATTATCTTTTATTATCATTGTTTTGGGGCGCTGATATCAGTATGTAAACTGTGTTTTGTGAGATTTGTCTAAAGTATTACTATGTTAAGACAAAAAATACAATGGTACTCCTATGATATATAAATCTTAGTAGTAGTAGTACGATTGTATTTTGTATTCTTTATGTTTTACGTATATAATACGTAATATTCGTAAAACAAAAAGGAAACTGTCGCGATTCGATATTATACAGTGCTGCTGCAGTGTGTATAAAGGGCTGCAATTAGCTTTTTGAATATTTGTTTTGGTTTTATCTTGCGGAGGTGGAGCGGTTTATTTAAATCGTTTTAGTTTTAGCAACTCGTTCTCCTCGCTTTAGGGCTAATTCCTGTATTGATAAGTACAAATGTACGATTTTCGTATAAACTTTATTCAGACACTATCCTCGGAGTTGTGTTCTAATACCGTAGTAAATCACCAGCAAAATAAAACCCGACTATTGTCTGTGTACGTATACGATTTCGACTGAATCGGAAAGATTATTCAGGACTTGCCAAATAAATCATTTCGGCGGAAGCGAGCTGAACCAAAAATGTCTATTGTTAGATAATGATTTTAGCATATGTTAAGCTTACTTCTAAGCGATATGCGTAATAAAAATAAAAACCGCTATTTCCATAAACATGATGTTGTTTTAAAGATAATTACTTAAATATACTTAAATATACTTAACTATACTTAAATAAAAGAATACATTTTCAAAGTGCAAATTTAAAAAAGTCCCTTATTTACTAGTGGCGATAGTGGTGGTTCTTATGTTACTCCATAGCTTTTATTCGTTCGCAAGTTTTTTTTTTAAATTACATTCTTATCGGTGGTGATTTAAATACTGACTGTATCCACTAGCTCAATAGTTAGTAAGGAATATCCTTCTTTTTCTTTACACATCGATGAAGCAAACGTTTTTTCCCTATTAAGTATTTTCAGTCTATATTAATCATGTAAACAGAAGTATTCATTCCCAATTTCTTCTCGTACGATAATGCACTTACATTAAGGTATTTTGTTTTTATTTCAGTGAGCCAAAGACATTTTCATGGTACATCAACATGCACGCGGGCATGACATTCAGACAGACGAGGTGCGAACCTCTCGCGTCTAGCTCAGACACATGGTACGAATAAAAACACCGTTTCTGTTATTACTTAACTTGAAAACGGTTAGTATACGTGAATTTAATTAATAGACCTTTTTGTGTTTTTAGTGCCAGTGAGTGAATGATAAAAGACAAGCGTTTAACCTTTCATTAAATCACTTTAAATTTCTGATGGTCGTCTATTTTGTCACAGATCAATCAAATGGCACGCCAGTCCAGAAAAATGGCAGTTTAGTTCGAGGTAATGGCAACAAAAGTACAAGAAGGTGTAACTTAAGAAATTATTCTACGGGCGAAGAAAAGTTATAATGGAGTGGTTTGAACTTACATTTTGAAGATAAATTATTGTAAAAACATTTCTGAAATGTTTCTAGATAATAAAATTTAATAATGCAAAAAATAAAAAATAATGTATGACCCAATATGGATAAAGGTTGATAGTGTATAAAATGCATTTCTCTCACTATGAAAAATAAGTTTTTCTAAAACAACTTAGGAATACAAAGTATTTCAAGATAATGAGCGTTAAAACACTTTTTGTTTCCATATCATTATAGCGCATTTATATTTTGTGTAAGTCAAAAATATAAGTATTTGAATTATAATGCCATAATTTCGGAAAGTTTGCATGTAAACTTTATGTATGTATATATTACAAGTTAAAAATAAAGATGTTACAAAATTTCTGTTTTTTTTTTTATTTCATTTCAAATTTAACATTTTAATTATAAGAATGAAGTACCATGGAGTAACAGTAGTGTCACTCTCTGGAACCCTACTGTGCGAATAATGACATCCAAACGAAGTCTTGAACATTTTTGCAAATAAACAATGAATGAATATAAGATTTCGAATATTATTTGTTGTGTTAACCAAAAATTGATACAAAATAATAGCAAAATTTCAACATCAGGAAGGCATTAAGGGAATAAATTTATTAAGTAATAAATTAATTTAGTTTAAATTAATAGAAAGTTTCACATTTTCAGCCGCCAGATAACGTTTTGCTACATAAGTTTCTTCTGTTATGGAAATTGACTTTCAGATAGGTTTTAATCAACAAAGTGAATATAAAGATACCCTTCTACGTATTTTTTCGGTGTTTTATCGGTCGATTTACAAAGGACCATTGTTAGGAATCTGAAGGTAACGCTTAGAGTTCTCTCGACGTTATTTGGAGGGTATACAGATAGAAGAAACACAAAAAGAGGTCTGTTTCCACAAAGAAAGTAGATTTACGGTAATGATATGTCAGTAAAATTAAAGGATTTTTAATTTTAAATTTTATTTACTGTTAGCAGCAAAAGTCAATTAAAAACATAAAATAATAAACAATGTTTAAATTTTTCTGCCCCAGATTCGATTAAGTAACTTTGCGTCACTTAGATTTATTTACAATTCTTGATGATAAATATATAAATCGTGACTGCTCAGTGTGCCAATAATTAATTATCATCATCCTCCCGACTTTATCCCACTTAGGTGAGGTCGGTACAACATCTTGATCATATCGTAAGTGGTTTTGACTAGATTTTTTACGACCGGCCGTCTTCCTGACGTCAAAACCATCTTTGGTACCAAACATACTGATCCGGAATAATCATCTGTGGGTCACACAAATACTTGTCCCATGTGGGAATCGAACCCACGATCCCCAGCGCCGAAGCCAATAGCTTAGCAACTGCGCCACAGAGTAATCTTGGCACCAATAAAAATGTTAATTACAATTTTAAGTGTTACAACAAGTTCAGCGTTGAATGAAAACATCGTTAGGAAGCCTGCATATTTTCTAAGTAATAATAATTAAAAAATAGGGAATATGTGAAGCCTACCTATCTGCGGTGGGAACATGGGTTGTGTAAAGTGTTCCTATATTTGGGAATTAAAGCCAAAACTAACCGATAAAAATCCTTGAAATAACTTTGTGCAACAAGTTTATTTGTTTGTACCATCCTTAAAGATTATCATGAATATACATATCATAATGAATACAATATTTTTAAAGAAAAATGGGTGGTTCCATAATATAATAAGAATTTATTCGCAATAAACTATACTACTTGTCTGATCGCTAACTTTTAACAATTTCTGCACTCATAGCTGCAAAGTTACTAATAAAATGAAACAGTACCTGGAGGACCGAGCTTTTCTCGGTTTGTTTTTTTTTTTTGGTAAATCGTGTATTTTGGAAATTACATTTAGATGCAAATTACTAAGTAATGAAATATGCATAATATGTTTCGATCTTACCGACGTAATAATAAGAAAATATGAACTGGTGGTTTCACAAAAGAAAGAACTTAAGAAAAAGGGAAAAAAAACAAAATAACAAATCGACAAAAAATAAAAGATAAAGAAAGCAATGATCTGGAATCGAAAAAAAAAGTGAAAAAAATAAGTGTGTAAATGATCGTGATACGAACCACGGCCTTCTGTTTCGTGGCTGATTGTTAGCGGCCGCCCGATTACCGACCGAGCTATTATAACATTTTTTTTAGTGAAATTTACCGTCGTATTGGAATGATATTTTTCATTCCCTGAAAACTGGGATAAAACGACATTTTATAAAAATGAAACCTAGTCAGATCGATTTTTCGCCCCCGAATCTACGCACATACTAAATTTCATGAAAATCGCTGGAACCGTTTCCGAGATTCCAATTCATATATCTTCTTATATATAAAAATGGAGTGCTGTTCGTTAGTCTCGCCAAAACTCTAGAACGGCTGGACCTATTTGGCTAATTTTGGTTTTGAAATATTTGTGGCAGTCCAGGGAAGGTTTAAACGATGAGAAATAATGGAAAAATTGCATGGAAAATGAAAACATTATATATAACCTGTCAAACACTTTATGCGTGCGTTCCGATTCCTCTAGAAATAATTTATATGGCAAAACAACGTTTGCCGAGTCAGCTAGTATGTATATATATGTATATATATATATATATATATATATATATATATATATATATACAATAATTGCTCATTTAAAGGATAAGATATTATCATACATTTTATCTAATGGGTGAGGTAGTCGGGGCTCACTTTAAGCGGCGGCGCGTTATCAACCCTGCGTTGTTGCAAATGTTAAAACCGCCAGCTCGTTTGCCACCTTCTTACACAAAAAATCACTCAAATTGATTTCATATTAAAACGTAAAAAAATTTCGAGTATAAACTTTATGTGACATAAGTAAAAATCTATTAAAGAAGTTTAAAATACAGATGTCGGTTTATCAACTATAACGGGTTGGATCGAAAGAAGAAAATACTGACAAGTGCAACATAAAAGCAAGATAACTACGTTATACTTTTCCAATAACGCATTTTCTACGGAACGATTTGATGCGAGAGTTTATTATTGAAAGAGCAAATCCGATTCGGTTGGTTGAAGTTTTATGTTATTTAAGATAGAGTATACTATAATTATAGTAGAGTACATAATTTTATGAGACTTGTTTAATATTTTTGTATTTACTGCTTACTACTTACTTTTTTATTTACTATTTACTACTTTTATTATTTACTGCTCTTATCAATGATGACACGTGTAAAAATAGTTTCATATAATAAACAGAACATATGAACTTTAGTCTTTACTATAGATCACAGCATTAAGAGTGTGCATTTGTTTTCATAATAGTATTTGCATAGTTCTTGGTCCTGTTCATGCGAGTAGGGCATAGCGCGAGAATAAGGCCTTTATTAAAAAAAAAAAAAAAACAAAAGAAAATCATAGAACTAATCAGGATTAATATTATTTAATTTTATTTTTATAATTATTTTCGGCATTATGACATTTTTACAGTACTAGGGCCACGCAACTGCCTCCTACCTTAGATGAATGGACAGGTTCATCCATGGAAACACCACGGTCTCATACAAGACCAGTGCTGTCGTAGGGCCACGCAAAACCTTCAGCTGTTGCACGAATAGGCTGGTCCGTCCGTAGAAGTACCACGACCTCACAGAAGACCGGCTTGAACTGGAAGTGTCATAGTTCTGCGTTTCGTCTGGTGAGTAAGGTAGCTGGGGCCGAATTTATTATAAGGTGTCGACGCATCTGCAACCCGACGGGTGTTGCAAATGGCCTTTTTATAAAGGTTGCGGACGATCTGGAGGCATGCAAATGGCGGTATTCATTAACATCAGGTCAAATGCCTGCTCATTTGACAAGTATTCGCATTAAAAACACAAACGATACATATTACGAAACATATATATGAATTACTTTAATTTACTTTCGCTATCTTTATCAGCTGATTGGATTTACCGAAATGTGTTTGCATGCAATTAGAGTAAGATGCAACATCAACGTTACAGAATATTAGAGAAACACTAAGTTCCCTACGGAAAATTTTAATTGTGGCGGACACTAAAGACACTCGGTAGAGTTACGACCGTCACACAGAAAAATGGTTTATGAGTAGTTTAGGTTTGCTATCTCATGAAATTAATACTCTTTTTATAACGTTTTGAAAGTGTCTGTTTTACGCCCCTTGTTTAAATTGTTGTGTTACGATAAATTGTACATTTAAAATTTATTGTAATTGCCTTATCATTTAGAAAGATAATAAATTAATACTAGCAAGTAGTGTATTTACAGGTAGGTCAAACATTTTAATGTAGTTATTTAGAAGTGTTTGCTCAAGAAATTTCCCCGGATTCTGAAAGTTTTACCAATAATATCTTACGTCTTATCGTTAAACTTGTTTATTCACGAGAATAAACGATGCATTATTCACTGATATCTTTTATAAAGTTCTGCTTATGTTGAAATGAAATTAATGACTCTGTAGTCATAAATCACTGTTGATTTATGTCAACAAAATTTTATAATGAAAGTATTCTAAGGATTTTACCGCGTAATTTGTTTTCTAACCTTTTCATCTCCGTTAAAAACATATTAAACGAGTAGCGGTAAGTTTTATTAGAATCAGTATTTTTATTTACACTGTGCAGTGA